CGAAACAAATACTTCTATATGCACACTGAATTATACAGAAGATACTTTTCTCTACTCAGTTTGTATTTCATCTCCTGAAGAATATGATAGAACGTCCAATACTTCAGACTTCACAATAGTATTGTGATGTCTGAAGATGCTATTCTATAGCGAAACATGTGTCGCGATTTTGTTAACTATCAAGTGAAAACCTCACGTTAACGTGTTTTTTGAATACGTTATCTCCTGATGATGCCAAATTGGTTATTGAAACGTTCCGAATAACCCAACTATTTATTCAATAATTGATTTTATATTTTGAACTCACTAATAGTGAAAACTGCATGTTACGATTTTGTAAAATGAAATTATTCAGCACTCCATTTATTATTCTGTAGAAACATTTAATATTCCATTTTTACAACCCCGATAGCTGATAATTTGAATATTTCACTATATGGATTGAGATGATGAAATGGTCACAGTTTATTATTTGTGCGTGCGTGGGTGTGAGTGCGTGGGTGTGAGTGCGTGCACACGCACGCACTCATACACACGTGTAAGTGCGTGCATGTGTGTATAAAAGAATTGATACTCTAGAAACTTTTCGGAAAGTTGGTAAACTTCGTAAACTGTCAGGCAATAGTGATGCGTTATCAATTGGTCTCAAAATATAGGGAATCGTCAACGATTCACGTTTGTATCTCTTTGATGTCCTCAGTGGAAGCTAACATCCAAACAAGAGCTCTTGCAGATCAATCAAAAACTTTATCTGTTTTGTCCTCCTTTTTCATTTGTAGAAAAAAGTATGTATGTGTTTCGTCGCGTATTTTATATTGAACTTCTTCTGTACTTCTGCAGAGATGTTTTAATCATCGGTAGCAAATTATCTGTATTCATTAATATCTATGTAGTATTTCTCAAGACTCCTACCTTACGTCCCATATCTTTGAAAACAAGAGCATTCCATTGCCTAAACGTAAAAGCACATTCAACATATTCACTCACCCAGCCTGACGTGCTTATGGATGATCATCATAAAATTATGTAACATACGAATACCAGTATTGTTTTGAGGTCATTCTTTACTGTTATTTATTTGATAACACGCTATAAACGTGCCGCAAGATTTGAAAATAGTTATTGCGTAGGTATTAAAGACTAGGCAAATAATCGGTTAAGTTTAATACATGAAGTTTTATTCCTTACTTTTAATTTATATCTATTTAATAACCAGGATGTGAATATATATCATGTTTGAATGCCAAAAAGTTTGGCCATTGAATTTATGATTTGTACAAGTTTATTTCTGAATTGTGGTGATTTTTGCCCATAAGCTATTCTAAAGGGTATTTCATCAAGGGCTTCCTATCTTTAGATTTAAATAAAACAAAGTGTGGGTGAGATATTATCGAAATGTTTATTCATTTGAAAAACCTATTAATGCCATTGAGTGTGGAATATAACGTCGTTCAAATATCCGCCAAGGCTTCTCTGGGTGGAGCGCCCAGTTTTCCATGACTCTGGCGCGTAAATCAGGCTGAATTTGACCAATGGCATGGGATATGTTGGCTTTGAGGACCGCTGTGGTTTATGACTTATTTGCATACATCTGCGACTTGAGAAAACCCCACAAAAGAAAGTCTAACGGTGTCAAATCGCACGTTTCAGGTGGTCAGTTCACATAACCTCCATATGAGATGATTATGCTCTCAAATCGCTCGTGCAGAATGTTCAATGCGTGGCTGTGGGGCACGTAGCGCCGCGCCGTCCTGTTGAAAACACATGTCCTTGGTGTCCAGGTGTCTAGGCCAAAAGAAATATAGATCCACCCAAACAGTGACTTTCAGGATGCACCGGACGCTCTTGAATCTCATGTGGATTGGTATCGTCCCAAATTCGACAATTTTGTTTATTCACGTAACCATCCATCCAGAAATGGGCCTCAACGCTGAAGATGATTTTTCTATGAATATTAGGGTCAGATGCCAACTGCTGAAAAGCCCATTCAGCAAACATACGTTGTTGTCTATTGTCGTTTATCTTCAGTTCTTTGGCCAGTTGGATTTTTACGGGTACAGGTCCAAGTCACGACGCCAAACTCGCCAACTTGTGGTCTGAAACGGTTGAGTTCATGTGAACGATGCGAAATCGACTGCTTTGGATTCTCCTGCACACTCTCATAGACAGTGACAATCTTGCGTCTTGTCTTGCGTTTCGTCGACGGACGGATGTTGGTCGATCGACTACTGAACCAGTAGACGTGAATTTATACACCACATTGCGAATAGTCTTGTCGGTAGAACGATTATGGCAACCGTAAAATATATGAAGCTAACAGTACGTTGCCCAAACAGAACACCGATTGCGATAAAAAAATTGCACGTGTTCTTGAATGCTATATCCGTCCATGGTGATTTGGCAAAATCACCAAATAAATGAAAAAGTAATTTGACAGATGTAGCTTCAACAAGATGGCCGTTTTCAATTGTCAAAGTTCGGAAGTCCATGTTGGAAGGCACTATATAAGCTCAGGTACTAACTAAACAATCAATAATTCTGTCATGAAAGTAAAACTGAAACCTCTGGTGTAGAATAAATTCAAAAACAAGCACCTTTCCCGATCACCAGAACTGAAATCTATTCTCGACACACATTTCACCAACCAAGTTGATGTCTTCAGGAGATGAAGAAAACTAATTCCTGAATCTGAAATTGGTCGCTACTGCTATCTAATTCACTTGCACTTTCCGATACACATTTAAGATTTCGGATAGAAATTCGCGAGAAATTTTCTTGTGAAAGGTCCCGCAAATTTTAACAGAGTGATTCATAAAAAAGTACCTAGATAATGTTTTTCGATGCTTACGAAAATCTGGAAATAAAGTGTGGCTTGAGAACTATTCGTATTGGATACTTTTCCATGAGTCACAATATTGAAATATGAGGGAACTTTGACGAGAAAATTTTCCGCAAATTTCTACCCGAAATCATTGATGTGTTTCGGAAAGTGAAAGTACACCCTGTTAGATCATGAATTAGTTTTCTCCATCTCCTGAAGACGCCAACTTGGTTGGTGGAATGCGCGAAAAGATGAGTATCATATTTTTGTTGATTGGGAAAAGTGTTTTTCAAATAATTCCTTTGCAATATGATGGCGGCCATTATCTTGACTGAGTAACAATCTTGGAGCAACAACTAACGCAAAAGAAATCATAATTCATTAAAAACTGGTACCTTGAATAGTGTTCAAAAATCTTACCAATGGATCTCAGTTAGTCAGCCTTCCGAAGCTGATGTTATTTCAAGCTTTATATGGTGCGATGCATAATCGTCGAATGAAAATTCCGTAAACTATAAAAGAAATGAAGCCTAAACTCTCACATGAAATGCTTTAGACAAGTAATGCAAAAGAAACCATAATTTATTGAAAACTGGTGCCTTGATATTCAATAGGGTTCAAAAATCTTAACAATTGAACTCGATTAGTAAGCCTTCCGAAGCTGATGTCATTCCAAGCACTATGTTGCGATTCATAAACGGCGAATGTTTCTTCAACAATAAAAGAAAATAAGCCTAAAACTCCTAGACGAAATGCCTCAGAACTTGATGTATCGCATCTTACTTCTTACTGTGAATTTTTTTAAAATAAAAATTCTAATGTACTTCCTCCTCTTCTGGGACTAACACTATCGCTTTTTTCTATTCCGAAAGTTTTCATTTCCTCAGTCTTCTTAGCAGAAGCCTTTTCTCATCCAAATCTTGATCAACTTTTGGTATATTATCACAAGTCTGGAACAAAAAACTGTTTGTATGTTTTAACTGATTTATATTTGAGTGTTCTGAAAACTGAAAAAAAGTTCTTCTACCACCGCTCCACATAAAGCTGAGATTGATGAACCAATTTGTATAGTCACTTCCACGAGATTACATTGCTTCAAATACCTACTCAATATCAAGTTTCCAGGCCTCTCAGAGGAAAAGTTGAAGAGAGGTGGTTTCGTTGGACCAAATATTAGACGGCTCATGCCGGCACTAACAACAAACAAATCGTAAAAGAATGTTAAAAGTACTTTAAGCAAAGGTTCCATTGACACAGTGTTTTTCAATTTAATATTTATATCAGTCATATATCAGTAAGATTTTTGATCCTCTGTATTAGAGATATCAATAATATCCCACTTTACAACTGGAGAATGAAAATTTCAGAAAACATTCACGAGAAAAAGTTATTTCTAGAAAATTTTTCTTTTATCAATGCAAATGAAATTATTAAACAGTCCACAAATATTTCAAACATATTTAAGTGAAAAAAGTAATCTTGAATAAAAGATGGAACTGGAACCTCCGGCCATGAATAAATCCGAAAGCAAGCACTTGTCCAATCACTAGGGGATGAAGAAAACTAAAAACGCCAACTTGGTTGGTGAAACACGCATCGATAAGAGTACTCAATTTCTGATGATTGGAAACGTTCTTGTTTTAAATAATTTTGAAGTTCAACAAAATATTCCTACTTTGTATTGAATTACAGTTTGATACATTAACATCACCTGTATGTGATCCTGGTACACCTCCTTCACTGTTGTTCAAGTCGTAGCCTCGTGGAGAAATTTCTAAAAAGATTATTGACCCTATTCTTCCACAATTGATAATCTCAGTAGATTATTTTTATTTTTATATTTTTTACACTACGCAAGGTGCGGAAACATTCCATTCACCAGCCACTGTTCTCATTAAAAAATAACTCAATGACTTTTTCAGGAAACTTCAAGTCGGATTTCCTTCTCATACCTCAATATGACAGGTTCATCTAAATAACAATCACCAATCTGCATACGAATAATCTTCATTGGAACATGAAATTAAAATTCTCTTCATTGCCGTTCGCCTTAATGTATAAATGAAGTGAACAACGGTTTTTCTTGTTTCCTCATCAATTAGTTCATCTTGTTTGTTACCTCTCTGGTGAGAAACGAGTTGCTCGATTGAAATCAATTCCACTTTTTGTTTTGTTTCAGATCTTCACCTTGCTGCCGAGTTGGGAAAAACGCTGCTGGAAAGAAACAAAGATTTGGAGACCACCCTTAAAGATTATAAAGCTATCATTGAGGATCGAACTCAAGAAATTGAGGTAATACATATTTTGAAGTCTTTATTGATGTTTTGCGAGTTATTATAATTTTTCAAATCATTTACACGTTTATTGAATTTGTTCTATATTCGTATTTCTATTGTGTCTCTTCCAAAATTTATTCACAGATACATCTGCAGATCGTGTTTGTTGCTGAGAAAAATTGCTACATATAATTTAATCCTAAGCTCAACTCAAACAAGTTTGAGTAGCCTGCTATCGAAAGCGTTCGCATATAATAATTAGAAGTTATTGAAGCTTCAAATCCTTTTTGTGAACAACTAGTCTTCGCTGACTAGTTGAGAACAAAACTTGGAAAATATCTTTGGGTGATCAGCAGAATGGAAATGTACTCTCATAACACAGGTTATTCCAATATTTTGATTACATTCATTATCATCTTCAAGGAAAAGCTACAAAATTTGTATGATGATAGTACAATATCAAAATTATTATGAAAGAGCTCAACTTACTGTTAGTGACACGGCCATCCAATTTCTTGAGTGCTATGTCCAATTATTTAACTTCTTTATTATATCAAGACACTCAATAAATTTAAGAGCCGTCGGTAGACAGCTGTTTCAGCGGAAGGGTAGTCGTTGCTTACTAGTTATGAATAAAACTGTTGGATAGCTAACAAAACAGTCCTAATCATAAAGTTAATACATAGCAAAGTCAAAGACAAGGACAACTAGTCTAGTTGAAAAACTCCAGACACCACCAGAAAATGGCAAATGATACTTTGGCGAAACATTCAGTAGCTAGGAGCGAGTCTCCAGAGGAGATGGTTGTCGAGTTTATGACTGCAACTGACCTCCCTGTAAATTTAATTCAGGAGCGAGTCTCCAGATGAGATGGATGTCGAGTTTACGACTCCAACGAACCTCCCTGTAAATTTAGTTCAGGAGCGAGTCTACAGAGTAGATGGATGTCGAGTTTACGACTCCAACTTGTCTCTCTGTAAATTTAGTTCAGGAGCGAGTCTACAGAGGAGATGAGTGTCTTTACGACCCCAACGGACCTCCCTGTAAATTTAGTTCAGGAGCGAGTCTACAGAGGAGATGGATGTCGAGTTTATGACTCCAACTGACCTCAGCGTAAATTTAGTTTAGGAGCGAGTCTACAGAGGAGAACTGACCTCCCTGTAAATTTAGTTCAGGAGCGAGAGCCGCTGCGTACGTAGAATCTGTCACAGATGGGGAAACTAACCAACTAACCAGCAGGTTTAGCAAACGTTTGCGCTCAAGTGAGGTTTCACCAAAACCAGAGGCGAAAAAGCCCTGCACGGCTACTACTACTTACCATACAAACTAATCGGCTTTGTTAAGAAGCTGGGTTTGTTTGGCCGAATGAGAATAAGTGTGAGCCACAATAAACTCTTGCGGGTTGCGGTGGAGGATCGAATAGACCCACTCACTTTGGACCTAACCTAACCTAACCGGGCAGGCGGTCCTCGATTGAAGACAAAATGTGAAAAACCAAGAAAAGTACTTAATAGAAATAACTGCGTAAGTGGAACTACCTCGCTTGTGTTTACGCAGTATGGTGCAGCCAAGGGTAAGGATGGGTAACACTTGGTTACCAGAAGGAAGAAATACAAATTCACGGAGCCACCAGCAGGAGACAGCTGTACATTTGTGGTTTCAGTTAATAGATCTTGTGTTTATAAGAAAACTATCAAAATCACCACAGAGGCAGCTATAGCTACCTTGGTGACATCTGGGTCCAGGAAATAATGCAAATACGAAGGTTATCGAGTGTCTTGATATAGATAAAGAAGTTATTGATCGGGCATAGCACTCAAGAAAGTGGCAAACCATAGACACGTGTTTCGGGCTTTAGCCCATTATCAAAAGCCCGAAACAAGTTTCGTCGACGTACGAGTGTTGTTCGTACATTTATTGTACCAGTGGACTCAAATTCATTCACCCACATTGCGAATAGTCCTCTTGGTAGGACGATTATGGCGACCGTGAAATGGGCAAAGCGCACGGTACGTTCCCCGAACAGAACACCCATTTTTACAGGCGTAGCTTCAACAAAATGGCCGCTATCAATTGTCAGAGTTCAGAAGTTCTTGTTGGAAGACCTTATTACCTGTTAACTCAATTACCTGTTTCGATTGTTAATGTATAACCTACAATGGGCTCATTCAGTGTAATTTAGATTTTTATTGAAAATTATATATTATAAAAGTAAATCATCTCCCAAGTATCCCACAAAATTTTTCGGTTTTTATGTCAATGAACAACTGAGCAAGAGCAATTAAAAATGTGAGATCCCCCCGATACATTTTGACGTCACACCAGGCAACGAGCTTCGAGCGGTGGCAACCGGGCCTGTAGTTGGAGATTATGAATCGCTGCCATCGCCGCCAGCACTCCCTTGTCGCCGAGTCGACTGATGTGACGTCAAGCTTGACCACATTCAACTATTAATTTGAGGGGGAAGATAAAGAGTAAAATTTCAGATTTTTTGCAGATTTACTATTTGAAACATACACTTTCAAATAATGAAAAAAAAAGAAAAGATAAATGAGCCCATTATATTATAACATATATCCAAACAAATTACCTAACTTTAATATGAGAAGATTATTTTTGTACCTAAATAATATATATAAGTATTTTAACAATGAGTTACAGTCACAAGTATTACATCACTTTAGACCATTCCACCTTCTATTGAATTCTGACTGTAACACTCTTCTTCACTTTCCTATATGGTTAAGTTAATCTTCTTATTCGCAGTACCTCACCAAACAAACAAACGCCCTCAGAGAGGTCAACGACTCGCGCTTGCGCATCTATGAACAACTCGAGGTGAGCATCCAAGATCTGGAACACACCAACCACAGACTTCTGCTTGAAAATGCGGCAGAGAAGAAGCAAATCAAAAACTTGAACGCCACCATATATTCCTTGGAAGCGAAATGCGAGGATTTGCAATCGACTATCGACGACCTAACGCTCCAGCTGAAAGTGCTCAAAAAATCTCATGCCAGCGAGGCGGCAGAAAAGGCGGCGGCGGAGAGCATCAGGAAATGCATTTCTCCGCAAGATGACAAGTTGGAGGAGGGCGACGATTTAGATTCTTGTGGACGTTCAGAGACAAAGGTGAGTTATTCTTTTTTATTTTTTCATTTCTGTCATATAATGCTGCGTTTTTTATGAGTTCACTTCCATATTTCAATTGTTGAAAATGCGATTTTTGTCAGATTTATAATGATATTTTTCAATTGAAAAGGTGGAAACTCAACCCCCCGTTTGTGAATTTGAAAGGCGAACACAAGATGGAAGCTAAGGTCAAGTGGATGACACAACACGCATCTAGTATTGAATGTGTGATTGACTAACGGGTGGCTAATAGATTTTTTACGCTACGCTTATCACTTGGCTACATTGCCTTGATCGGATACGAATGCTAGTAGCTGTTGAAGATACGAGCGGGAAGTATCGCGGAAAATACCAAATTGCGCAATAATCGTTTTCACTTATTTCAAAAACCTTCACTTGTTATGGATTGTTATCCACCCCTCTGAAAAGACATTTATGAGTATTTGCTTGTCCAACCCAGTCGGTACTTATGAGATGCAACAACATTGGAACACACGTGTACACAGGTGGTTATTCTCAAGTAAATAAGGAATAATACTTGAATTGATGGATGGAGCCGTAACTACGTGGTAACGTGGTATTTCTCTCTAACCCATGTTTGTCGTTCTAAATGTTACGAGTATTTTCAATGATTTAAGATTATATATGACGACACTAGGAGACATTATTTTATTTTATATAGCATTTAATGCAAAAATATTCGATATATGGTTTTTTGATCAATATTTGATTGCATGTAAAAATCAATAATCATTAATAAAATTAACTGATAAAATCTTCTGATAATCTGATATTGTTGCAAATGAATTGGTACATTTTTGGTTTGGTTAATGAATCCAGAAAATATGCTACAATTAAGAACTAAACAATTATTCATTTATTTATCGATCAGGCACTGGATAAAAATATGTAATTTGTAAGAATGAATCGAAGAAGTTTTTGTATGAAAGTGTTAAATTATAAAATTATTGCAATGCGCTTTCGACTTTCGTCATCATCAGTGCTCACCTGAAAGTAAGTGATCTAATTGAAAAGAAAGTTTTGAAAATTGTTTATGATTACTTACTTGTCAGGCAACAGGAAGTATCAAAATGAGTACATGGCATATTTGTAATATTTGACTTATATAAAACGAAATAGGCTGATAGCCAAGAAAATACATTTATGGATTAAGGCCATGTGGTTCAGTCAAAGTAATATATTAAAGAAGGGCAACGAGAATTGATGTGTCAACAGAGTTTCTTTGTTACGGTTTCACGCGAAAACTACTTAAGCGATCATCTTGAAATTTTGTACACATGTTCTTGGAGGTATTAGAAGTAACATAGGATAACATATTGAAAAAATTATTTTTAATAATTGTTGATGAAAAATATTGTAACTATTTGTGTGAAATGGTCTGTCACGAAACTCAATGTGACAAACGAAATCCTACGCAGGCGAAGCCGCGGGTAATAGCTAATATACAATAAATGGACCTAGTTGTTGCACGTATGTGGCATAAGATTGCGTACAGAAAATATCATGGTGAAGAGTAATCATAAAATGAATCAATGCTCATTACAATTATAATACTTAAACTATAAATATTGAAGTATTATACACGAAAGAAGAAAATTATATGTTACAAATTTAGTAGTTTTCGATTTTTTTCTCTTTTGTTTTCCAGCATTTCAACTATCGGTTTATAAATACGATGGAAAAAATATTCGAACTCTCACAAACAACGAATAATCCATTGGAAAATCCTTACAAGGATGAAGAAATGTGATTGTTGAACTTTTATAATTTCAGTTGTGTTGTTGAATGCTATATCCGTGCATGGTGATTTGGCAAAGCAAACTGAATAAATGCCAACTAATTAGACAGATCCAGCTTCAACAACAGAGCCATTACCAATTGTCAAAGTTCAGAAATCCCTGTTAGTCCCTATGCTGTTCAAAATCTGTTTAAAATATATTTTTCCGTTGACCAGCTGTCGCACCTCTACGAACGACAACCCTCAGAAGTCGAAACTTCTTCTTTTTATTCAATTAAGTACATATTGTGATATTAGGTAACAACTTAAATGAGTTATTTCATGTTTGATATTTTTGAAAAGCCATCAATAACATTCAGAACAAGAATCTATACCTACTCAAATAAACACTTCAGGACTAACGAGGTCTTACCTTTTAACGTGTGATTCCTAACACGGGTTGAACGATAGCAAGTAAAAAACGATCGTTCAGACTGCAGCGGACAACACGGCGGTCGATTTGAGTGAGAGATCAAAGCACCCACGTCGAACCGACCGACTACCGTTGGATTTAACTAATCAGATACTAAAGTATTTGATTGGATAAATGCAACAATCAGATGCAAACGAATTAATTTATGACTTCATTTCATTCGTTATATCAGTAGACTGTTCAAAATCAATCAATACATGCAATTGAAGGGTAACTGTCTTTGCATGGAAAATATTTGAGTAAAATTATTGGTGGTATTTTTCAAACAGAACCCAACACAATTATTTTCAGAATTTTTGCCTATTTTTCTGTTTGTCTGTGCGTGCTAATCTCAAAAACGGCTTAATCGATTTAGGAGTAGTTTTCGTTAATGTATAGTTGATATGTATTTTTTAATTCATTTCAATCAATTCATAAATATAAAATCATGTCAATTAAGGAATCGTGTCAAACATTTTTTAAAATTGGCTGAAATTTTGGTTAATTATATTCATAGTTTGTAAAATGATTTCTTATAAATGAAAGATACACGAGAACTGCCATTGCGATAGTTAACGAAAAATATCATTTTATTCATAAAGATCGGGGTCGGTCAACCGGTTTTTCGATATCGATATTACAACAGAGTAAGCGTTGAATATAATTTATGATTGTTGAACTGTGGCGGCATCATGAATGGTTATGTTTCGTTCAGGATAGACCAAACAAACGTATCCTGTTGATTAGTTATAATACTGGGAACGCGAAAATGCCGCAAGTTTGCATTTCAGCTTCGAAGACAGGAAGTTCTGCTATATCTAAATAGGGGGTCTGAAAATTTAAAATAAAAACTGACCAATGCCTTTGATGAAAAAAAGATAAAGGTCTTGAGTAGAAAGGGTTATGGAAAAATTCGGGAATATTAAACGGAGATCAGATCAATCAGGGAACGCTTAGGGACAGTTTTTCGGACTTGGAAATATTAACTAGGCGGTTAATTTGGGGACAGTGGCGATCGGACAGTAGCGATCGGACAGTAGCGATCGGACAGTAGCGGAAGAGGGTTGCGAAAAGGGATTTTGCGGAAGAGGATTTTGCGATAGAGGAGTTGCGAAAAGAGTCCTTGGCGAAAGAGAGTTGCGAAAGTTATTTGGGGGACAGGGGCGATCTGACAGTTGCGGAAAGTCGGTCGTGAAAGTGAATTGCGATAGAGAAGTTGCGAAAGTCAGTAGAGAAGTTGCGAAAGTCAGTTGAGAAGTCAGTTGCGAAAAGATTCTTTTGCGATCGAGAGTTAATTGGGAGAGTTGCGATAAGGTATTTTGCGATAGTAGAATTACGGTAAATTGCGGTCAGTGAGTTTATTGTTATGTTTCGTTGGGTGACACTTAGAATGGATTTGTATTTCACATGTATACCGTTCCAGAGAGGAAGACCAAAACCCAATATAGTATCGTGAGTCAATTTGGATTTTTACTAACCCCCATGTCGGTTTAGAGAGAGAGGATGTCATTTTAATTTTGTAATAATTGTCTTATTGTTGTTACGTCTTGGGGACAGTATAAGAAGGGCAATAAATTACACTACACCCCTTGCATATGTGTAAATATCATAGCAATTAGTACACACGGATTTGAAGCTAAAAACTAGTACGGCGGCTAGGCAAGTTCAAATACTTACTTCAGAATGTCCGCCAAGTTCGAATAAGTCGATTTAGTTTTTCGTGTAAGTTGGAATTCTACCTTATGAGAGAATATATAACATTTCACAAGTTGATAAAGAGAAAATTTTTGTTTGAGAATCAGCTATTTTAGACGTACTTTCTTCTTAAATTTTGATTTTACCTTTCGAACATTTTTGCTTATTGCTTTACCGCTTATTGCTTCACCCGTTTATTCTTTTTATTGTTTTGTAATATAAGCCTAATCTGAAGCTTCTTGTAGCCACTACTCGAGTGAGTCCTGCACCATTTCAGGATAGTTGAAAGATAGTTCAGATAGTTAAGTATTAGTCTCCTGCCTCGTTTCGGAATAGAACTTAAAAGAAAAAACAATCACAAAGGTACACGGTGTAGTTAGGTTTCAAAAAGACCAGCCTTCGTGCGATCGGTACGAAAATTACATTATATAATTGTATAATCCAACCCCATTTTGATTATTGTGCTAGTATGTATACTCATTTGATCAAAATAAGGTATCGGCTTTACAAAAGTTACAGAACCGTGGAATGAGGATTATTTTACAAGTGAATAGGTATTCAAGTATATCAAACATGTTAAGTACATTGCAGTGGCTGTCTGTTTCCCAGAGACTGTACAAGATAGCAATGATATTCATTTTCAAACTAACACATAACTTGCTTCCAACTTATTAAAAGTCTCATAACCACTTAACAAGAGCGAGTAGCTCCCAAAAATTCCACCTTCCTCGAACTAATTCGACTAGTACGATGAAGTCTTTATTTTATAAAGGTTTGAATGAGTATAACCAACTCCCACTTTCGTTGAAAGATTCAATAAATGTTTTCCAATTCAAAAAAAAAACTCATGAACTATATAAAATATCATACTTGATTTTCTTTTTTCTGTTTGGTAATAAAGACTAAATCATTCATATCAGCTATTTATATCAGTTTTTTTATGAACTAATCAAAAATTTCGAAAATGTATTTCCAATCAATTGTTTTTTTCGATCAAATTATTCAAACAATGGAAAAATAGCAAAATCAACAATCATTTGAATGTTTTATCAGAACATAGTTTGTTATAACAAGCGAAATTGATTTTTTTCTCAAAAATAATAAATTTTTTCATTTATTTACGAAAAGTTTTGGAACAAATATTGTCAAAATTTAAAGCAAATGTTATTAACAATTTTTTTTAAATTATTCGATTTTGAATGTAAACAAGACATTTGAATTCATTATTAATTTGAGAATAGAAGCATTCCATGAAAAATTACAAAAAAAAATTGCTATTCAAGATAGTGAAGTTTGTTTGGTATTTTTTAAATTATTCGATTTTGAATGTAAACAAGACATTTGAATTCATTATTAATTTGAGAATAGAAGTATTCCATGAAAAATTACAAAAAAAAATTGCTATTCAAGATAGTGAAGTTTGTTTGGTATTTTTTTTCTCTCCAAGAGTAGAGAATCAATTTTTAAATATCTAAACAAATACATTTTGCAATTGTTTATGTGTGAACTCTGCATCTTTTCAGAATGTCAATAAGAACAGCAGTAGCTAGAATTGAAAATTACATATCAAACAAAACTTTGTTCCCAAATCATTTTGAGTTTACTAACCTCTTTTCATTTTTCCAGACTCACACTACTTCACGAAAAAATAATGTACCCGCCCCACACACGACCGCGGCGACGGACCAACCGAGAAGCTTCGACAGCGGCATCCAGAACCGAGAAGAATTTTACGAATCTGACAGCAGCATGGAACAAATGACACAACTGCTCGCTCAACTCGAAAAAACGAGAGCACAGTGCTCGAGAGACGAAAGGAGAATAGCTGAATTGGAAGAACAATTGTCGACGATGGTGCAGCAGAATCAAGAGTTCGAAAATCAAGTGATGCTTTTCGCCAACAGAGGAGATGATTTGAATGCAAAGAGTATGCACGAAGAGCTCACGACGGTGGAAGAAGTGAGGTGAGTGTTGAAACTGCTTTTTTATGAATTTCTTTTCCGTATCCCTCAAACACGAATCTTCCAAGAAAGAATTACTCTTCCTCTTGTAGTTCTCCACAAATTTAGAATCGGAGGTAAACCATATAAGCAGCCGATACGAAAAGGCATTCACTCAATAGTACTGTTAACGGAAACGAAAATTCTACTTCAAAAACTGGCAGTGCAAGTTTAGTTCTGAGATACATACCTAAAACATGGAGATACTGGGCCAAAGCTTTGAGACTAATCTGTCTGATGGCGTTTGACAAGCATATTAAGAAAGCAAAGTGTTTTCATCAGATTTACATTTGCACATCATAATAATAGTTATAAAAATATTGTTATCAATATAAATTTGAAGAAAAATATTCGTTGAAGAACGCTCAACCAGATCAGTTGTTTCATTTTTCTTTCTCAAAATTATTTTCAATTAAACGAAAAGTTTTATTCATGCAGCGAAAGACTAATAACGGATAACCCGTTGCATCTTTTGCTGCCTGAAATTTTCATGGATTATCTAGAGCAGGGGTCTTCAAACTTTGAAGACTTCGGGCCATAATGATTTTTTCAGTTTGTTCCAAGGGCCAATTTCTGCCCTTAACTAGACTAGGATAGTCGCAAAGTGCGTGGCTTGAGCAAACTTACGCTTTTTTTGCATTTCAATTATTATTGTGTATTGTGACACTTAACGACATCTAGTGGCGAGTAGTGGTACTATGTACTGTCTTTTTCAGCTACCCGCTAGGTGGCATTAGGCGTAATTAAATATTTGGAATTACCGCGTTGGTTCGAGAAAGTTCTGGTTCTAGCTAGTGTATTCCGATCACCTCGAGATGGCAGTAATAATT